CTTTCGTTATTATTGGAGATGATGAAAAAATTCCAATGCATAGATTTGATTTTATACAATTACAATTTTTTGATCAATTTCGCAACAATTTGTAAATATATTGGAAATTTACTTTATTTAATTTTAAGGTTTAAGTTATATCAATTTTATTTTTGCTAACATAAACAATGAATAATGATTTAGGATTTAAATTATTTAAAAATTAAAAATTTATCTTTTCACATTAAAGATTTTAGGTAACGGATGAAATATCATACTTAAAATTTATTTATATTAATAAATTCAATTATAATGAATAAAGTTGTATTATTACTGATAGGTCTAAGTCCTTCTTTAACTAGAAGAGCAGCAAATCGTCTGCTCACTGAAGAAATTACAGTAAAAAAAAAAAAAAAAAGAAGAAATTAAAATTAAACTTTTGTAGTTTTGTTTCAAATTATTAAATAAAATAAATCAAATAATTAAAAACCTTAGTTGAAAAAACCGTGCATCGCACGGGCTTTCATCTAGTAATAATAATAAGGAAGAAGGAGAAAAAAGGGAGGAAGGAGGAAAACCGGCGGCTGGTGGTTGGTGGTTGGGCAACGGTGGTCATGCGGTGGCGGTGGTCTGGTGGTCCGGCAGTAGCAGCGTGCGGCAGAAGTAAATGGGAAATAGGGGAAGCAAAGGGAGTTTGGGGTTTTTTTTTTATCGTGAGAAGTAAGAGGGGAAATAAGGGTTTTGGGTTTCCTAGTTCTAAAAAACTAGGATTGTTACTTGGGCTTAAAGTAAATGGGTTTTAGAAAAAAAAAAATAAATAAAAAAAAAAATAGGCTTAGTAATTAATGGGTTGGACTTGCATAATAATTCATGATTAAAATATGGGTAGTGAAATAATTTTATTAACTTTATAAACATTAAATTTATTTGCTTAAATCATAGTAAAATAGATTATTTAAATAAATAATCATAATTAAATATTCACATAAATATGTTAAAATATAATTTTAAATTTCATAAAATTACGGAGATTACAATAAATTGTAAAAAAATAAAAATAAAATACCTATCACATTGCTACACGTGTCTCATTAACTTGTTCAATAAATTATCAGCCGGTAGCATTCTATTTTGGCAGATGGTTATCAAAGGTCGTTTTATTACTGAATAATCAAAAGGTGGTTTTATTTTGTGAAAGACCGCTGAAAGGTCATTTTATTCTTGAAAATTTTTCCTTTTTTTTTTCAAAGTATTACACTTATAAAATGCGACCGTTTTTAAGAGTTCGACTTTCTTCTTAGGTCAAACCTCCCCATTTTAATACCTCTCCTCCCATGGTCCTCACTCAAGCCCATTATTAATTATTATTATTATTATTATTATTATTATTTTATTATTATTATTATTATTATTATTATTATTATTATTATTATTATTATTATTATTTCTTTCCCTATCACATCCCTTAATTAAAAAAAAAAGGTAACCCCACAATTTTTTTCTTGTAAATTTGTAATACCAAAACCAGCTATCTCATGTACATCTTTTTATATAATGTCAATTAATTCATCTAAAAATATGTGATTGTCAAAATGTAACACATTAAAAAAATAGAGGGTATATTAACTATTAGTGGTGAGGGAATATTAACAATTAGTGGTGAGGCTTATTGACATCATGGATGAGGTCACTGTGGAGTGAAAGGAGCAAAAACTCTATGACTTAGTTCCCATTCATACGTATGGAGGGAGAAAAGATGGACTTTGGTTTTTTTTTTTAGTTGCCTTAAGGCAAAAATGTAATTTCCAAGCCACGGATAATTTTGGGGTGTATAATAGTTGGGCTTAAATTTATTTATTTTTTTATTTATTAAAGTAAGATGAAGGGTCTTATCGAGCCGGAACCCCTCACGGGTCAACCCGGTCCGGGTTACCGGGCTAGATAATTTGGATAGTGGGGGGGGGGGGGGAAGGTAAGGGAATCCCACCCCCCAAATTGTCATTAGTGAGGATTGAAGTCATTGAACCTCCAACCTCATGGTTGGAAGGTGCTCTCCTTTCCACTAGACCAAACTTAGTTTGGTACTTGGGCTTAAATTAGTCAGCATGTAATAATCTCAATTAAAAACGCAAATCCACTTTTATAAAACTCATTTCTTAAAATAACAACATGAATTAGGCCCTGTTCACTTCTTACAGAACTAAAATTATTTTTGCTGAACTTAAATTATTTTTACTAGACTGAAATTAATTTTACTTAATTGAAATTATTTTTACAGATTCTCATTATATTTCTTCTTTTTTTTTTGAATAAATATTTCTTCTTTAAACTTACTGATTTTTACTAAACTGAAATTATTTTTACTAAACTGAAATTATTTTTAACCGAACTGAACTAATTTTTACTAAACTGAAATTATTTTTTACTGAACTGAAATTATTTTTGCTGAATATTATTTTTATTTTTTTAAGGTGAAGTGAACAGGGTCTTACATTTAATTTTTTTATTTTGAGTCACCCTAAATTAAAGCTAAAAATGGTATATATATTAAAATAATTCAAAAAAGTAAAACGGTTTCAAAATATGGAGTGTTTCAATAGAAACATTGCTTCAATTTGATTGGGGTTTCAAAGTGGCTCACACCATATATTCAACTAACTTTGTGGCTAATTTTGGTAAAAACTATAAACAGGAGAAGGCTTACTACAATAGCAATCAACCCCAAATTTGCAACAAGGTGCAGTTTTTACCTTTAATGTAATATTTGGGTTGTCATCATGAAAGTTCATTTTACTTACTAAAAAAGTAAAAACTAGCATGGGATAAGTATTACTTCCTCCGTTTCATAATAATCAAAACACTTTCCGTTTATGTTAATCTCATAATAATTGCAACATCAAACTTTCTCTTTGTAGTCTCGAGTTAGTTGAGAACTAGTCTCCTTTTTGGACCGTTGTTAAAAAAAATAAAAAGTAATTGCAACATTTCCATATTTAGTAAGAATCCACTAATATTTTATTATTTTTCTCTCCCACTAATACCACTTGCACAAATATTTAATTACGGAGTATTTTTCTCTCACTTACACTACTTAATTATTATTTCTCTCTCATACTAACAATTAAATACGAGTGTATATCAAATACTCCCTCCATATTTATTAAGTGTTATACTGAGTTAATAATTTATTGAAAAATGTTGAATGTCAAACAGTGAGACTATGAGAGGAATGAAATAATATGAAGTAAAAAAAATGTAGTATTGAGTTTGGGTGGAATCATGACTCATGAGAGCTAAAAATGGAAAAAAACAAATGAAAATGTAACATTATTTAGACTGATTATGTGAATTGTCATACATTTCTAAATTAATACTCCTTCCATCCCCTTTTATTTGTCACTTTTGAAGGAAAATCACGGGGATTAAGGTGGAGATTGTGAAGTAATGAAAGTATATGGGAAAGTGAAATTCCCAACCAATAAAGTAATAAAAGTGCATGGAAAAGAGACATTTCCAATTAAGAAAGTAATTAAAGTACATGGAAAAGAGAAATTGAGAGATTTAAGAGTGTAAAACATTAAATTAGTCAAAAGTTGGCACAATTTTTAAGGCAAACTAGGTTAGGTCCCGTGCCATGCACGGTAATTTTCAATAACTACTCTATAATTATTAACACTATATTTAATTATAAAAAAAAATCTATTTAAGTTACTACTTTGTAAAATGAATTAATTATGAAAGAGTCTATTATTAGCAAAATAGATAATTTAAAATACACATATATGTATATTTATATATATTTCACTAACTAATTTATATCATTTCTTCTTTTAACCAAATGAATATCTTACAACTATGTATCTAATTTGTAAATAGATTTGCTTTTTATACACTATTAATCCATTCCCTCTTATTACGCGGTATATATTTTTCTTCTCAATAATCAACTGGCTTAGAAAAAAATTCATATATTTCCTACCAAGCTTTTCAAACATAATTAAATACAAAAATATTTTAAAAAAATAATAATCCTTGTTGTAAAAATGGTAAGAATAGTATATAGCACTATGTATGTCACAAATTATGTTAAGAATTTGATTTTCATTTTTTTAACTTTAGCTTATGGTATCAATATATATAGTGGAAGGATATATTAAATCTTTTTATCTTCTATTTATATATAAGATTTGTTTCCTAAATAGTGTTTTTTTTACACATTAGAAAATGACACGTGTCATTGCTGGTGTGTCTTTTAGTATATAGTTATTTACGATTATTGATGTTAGAGTAAAATAGAAAGAGGACTTAATAAGGACAAAAATAATGAGGGTATAAAAGTCTTTTTATGTATTTTAATAATTATGAAAATATGAAATGTGACAAACATTTAGGGGCACCCAAAATGACAAAAGTGACAAACAAAAGGGGACGGAGGGAGTACCAAATTAGGAAAGGTATGTACGAGTAAATTTTTTGCCAAAAAAAAGTACGAAGTACCGTATAACACTTAATAAACACAGCCAATATAATACTTAAAAAACACATACCGTAGGAAGTAACTATAATATTTTCTCTGATCACCCTAAATAGTAAACACAGCCCTTACGGCTATGTATAAGAAGCTAAAAAAGAAAATATAAAGAATAAATTAGCATTAATTACACCAATTCGTGCGTGATTTTATCATAAATTCCCAACTTAATTCCATTTAAGGATGTATATTTAATGCGTTAAGGGCTACATATATCATTACCTAAATAATTTCAATTGTTGTGATTATTATAAAAATAGTTTTTTCCATTAGGCCCTGTTCATTTCACCTTAAAAAATAATTTCAGTTCAGTAAAAATCAGTAAACTTAAAAAAGAAATATAACAATTCAGTAAAAATTAATTCAGTTCAACAAAAATAATTTATGTTCAATAAAAATAATTTCAATTCAGCAAAAATAAGTTAGAGCAAACAGGCCCTTATTTTTTAAGTTTTCAAGAACCAAAATCAAACACCGCATCTGATTCTGAATGGAACTTTAATAATTGCTCTATTCAATTGTTGCACTCGCTATTAATAGCAGCCCCCTCACTTTTCCTTTCTCTCTTCTCCTAAAAAATCTTCAATTTCACCTTCATTTTCCTATTCATTTTCCATACTCGTGAAGAAATCAACAATGGCGGGCAGAAAAATGCTTATTGGTGGAGAAGAAAACCAGTCTAATGTCGAAGACGAAGCTCATTACGATTTCGATTTGTTCGTTATCGGTGCCGGAAGCGGAGGTGTTCGTGCTGCTCGATTTTCTGCAAATTTTGGTGCTAAGGTTACATATTAATTTCATTTCAGATTGATTATCATAAATGATTGAATTATTATTGGATTTTCCATTTTTTTTTGTGATTAATTTTCTGGTAATTTTGGTGTTAAGGTTATAAATTACTGCTCATGTTAATTTTATTTCAGACTGATTATCATAAAGGATTGAAGTATTATTAGATTTTGATTTTTTTTTTATATATATTTTTTTTTATTATTGCTTTTATGATTGAGTATTTGTTGATTATCGATTGATTTATTGAGTGATTGATGTTTTAAGGTTGGAATTTGCGAGCTTCCATTTCATCCAATAAGTTCGGAGGTTATTGGAGGAGTTGGTGGAACGTGAGTTTTTATTTAACCTTTTTCATGTAATTTCATTTACAATTTTGTGATGCCTGATATGATTTAAATTATTGTTGCTTTTTGATTAGCTTTTGATTTGGTGCAACTGTGATCTTATTTGTTAAAATTGTATTAGTTTTGGTGTTTTGAATTGGAAATGCTTGTTTGATTATTACTCGTATCATTTTGTTTGTATTGTGATATTTGTAAGTACTAATGAAAGGATGGATTTGATAGAAGCTAGTTACTTGAGTATTGAAAATATGTTTACACATTACGAATCAAAATTTTTAATTGTTTTCTTGTAATGGAAGGACTGATGAATTGTTGCTTGGATGATCTCCATTCGCTTTGGTGTTTATATGGCATAGTTTGAGATATTGAGTGCAAGGCTATGAATATTAGGATGGCAACTTTAGTGAGTTGCCCCTAGGTCTGTAAGACTCTTTCCAATGAAAGCCTTTTCAACTTTCTCTTGTTCTAGGTTGTTATCGACAAGAAAGATGTCACGGACTTGGTTATTATTTTGTCCAATATTCCAAAGTTGCATTTTATTGCAAATTTGTGTCTCAATCTGCCTTGTTGAGTATCTTAGTCTCTTACCTTATGCTTATTCATTAGGGGACAAATCATCTTAGTAGGCCTTATTTCTATTATGATTAGAGTTTCCAAATGCTTGACCCCTTAAATATTGTTTATTTATTTTATTTATTTGCTACTTGTAGCCTTGCCTGTTTGGGGCTATATCATACAGAGTATTTATTTTGATAGACCTTGTACACATGTTAGAGTTAACTAGAGTACTGAGATGGATACTAAATGATTTGATTATTGCTGAAGTTGACTTGTTGCCATTGTTAATATTGCTGTTATTGCAATTATTTTCTTTCTGAATCTAATTAGGGGTTTTATTTCTTGTATCTTTTGTTGTCTTCAGATGTGTAATTCGTGGTTGTGTTCCCAAAAAAATATTGGTGTATGGAGGTGCTTTTGGAGGTGAACTTGAGGTGAGTTTGTCTCAACCAGTATTGCTGAGTAGTTTGTAATTTTGGAAATTGCTGATACATGTTACAGTACATGGTGGTTTTTTAAGGGGTTTTAGAAATATATCTAGATGTTTATTTAGGTTTTTTGTGCATTTAAAATATTAATGTATCAGATGCACCATCAATTATTTTGTGGTTGCAACTTGCAAGAGATGGTACATATAAGGCTACATATGCCCCCTTGAATATTGTGATATTCTTTAGTGCATAGATTTAGTGGCTTATTCTCCACCTCAAGGTTTTTTCACCCCTTAACTTTTTTCTGGATTTAAATGATTTAACATCTTGCAGATTCTTTTTGTTAGTGTCCATAGTATCTTGTGGCCAGTGATGCCTTACTTTGGATATCGGAATTGTATAGCCTTGCAAGCTTTTGTATATATATATATTGATATATTCATTGTTGTAATTTTGGTTTTGTAGGATGCAAAAAGCTTTGGTTGGGAGTTGAATGAGAAGATCGACTTCAACTGGAAAAAATTGTTGCAGAAGAAGGTGAGTAGGTTTTGAAGTCTTTGTTGACTGAACTTTGTTGGCAACACTATATACCACATTCAATTCTTGCTATCGATGAAGAGATTTTTTTTTTATCAAATAAAATAAAAATTCCACCATCATGAATTTTGCAAAACCAGAGATTACAATCTAGAATCTCCCAAAAAATATTAATTATTTTATAGAATCTTAGCAAATTATGCTGTATAAGGTCACAAAATTGTGTTAGATAAGAACATAGGGTCGTCATGGAAAATCGAAAAAAGAATTCCACCATCAGGAGGTCACTATCTAGAATATCTCTCTTCTTTTTTCTCTTTGCCAATGTAATGCTCATATCTTTTAACTTTAAATTGTTTGTCCATGTTACTTGTTGCTGTCTCGAGAAAGTCTGTTTCCATAGAAGGGTTTTTCATTAGACTGTTGTTTTTATAATCTACCTTTCTTTTAACCCTGAAGTAGTTATTGAATGGCTATTGTAATAAAATTTTGAAAGTAGAATATATTAAGAGAATATGGAAGATATGGTAAGGTTGTAACTTGTAAGGATGGAATTTTCGTCTTGAAATAATAGCCGTTTGCTTTATTCTCATTCTATCCTAGTTCTAAATGACCCTCATATATTGAGATCTGGTGGCGAGACTAATAAACAGGCATACTGTTTTTTTTTTTTGTTTTGTTTTGGTATGCCAATTTTAAAAGCATTCTTCGTGGGATATTAATGGATTTTACATGGACTTCACAATGTATGGCTGCAGTTTACATAGAATAGGTTGTGTTCAATATGAAAAACACAATCCTTTTTTCTTATATGGAAAATTAAAAACATGACTCTATTAAGGGCTGAGGTATATTAGGTTTGTTTTTCTTCGACGTTTTCCATCTTAAAAAAATTGGCCATGATTTGTCTAGGCCTTAGGTTTCTGTTTGGTTGTTAATCCTCTCCGATGCATTAGAATCTTACATGCATTTGCATACATATAATATATTCTTTGCTTCTTATTTAAGTTGCACTCTTTTGTACGATGCAGACAGATGAGATTATCAGGCTCAATAACATTTACAAACGACTGCTGTCTAATGCTGGGGTGAAACTATACGAAGGTGAGGGCAGGATAGTTGGTCCTAATGAAGTCCAAGTGACACAAATAGATGGCACAAAGTTGTCATACTCTGCAAAACATATATTGATTGCAACTGGTAGCCGGGCGCAACGTCCTAATATTCCTGGGCAGGTTCTCCACTTTCTTTTGTTATTTTGAATTTTGTATCTTTGTTAGGATCTACCATTGATTTGCTTATGATAAATTTTATCTCATCTTTTTAACCAAATTTGTCTCTATCTTTTCTATTGTTGAATGTTCAGTAGTTGGGGATGAACTAACTATATTAATTGCATGAACACAAAATATACTGATTATTCATTGTTGATTAACTTGTTACTTTGTTTTTTTTTTTTTTTTTTTTTTTTTTTAGGGCAACTTGTTACTTTGTTAGTGCTAACTAATATTAGCTAAATACGGCCTAAGTGGCAAGTTCTGTTCTTTTCATTGTATGACCTGTATGCATTCATGCTGTACTGCTATTTACGGAGGAGGAAGATTAAGGATGGTGTTAATATGAGGATAATAGGAGTAACAAAATATGTTCATTTTGATTAATTTGTGCTGAAGATACTTTCTTATCTATCATAATTTGGTGTTAAGAAACATATAACTGATATGATTCTTAGTGTGGAAGTACGATATTCAAGTGCTCTTTGGTGACTTGGTCCTCTTTAATGTTAAATAAAAGCTATGTAATATTTAGCAAGGTTTTTGTATTTAAAATGAAACTTGGTAATGATGCTAACTGGGTAAAACTCTATATTGAACTTGGAAGAGTGTCACAAAGCAAATCCTAGTTATAAATTGTGGGTTTTTTGTTCTCAAACCAAGTATGACCAACCCAACTTCATTTCATTAACAGTTGGTAATTTTATGGCTTTCACTAGGGTGCAAATATTATGTAGCTGTGGTAACTATTAACTTCCACTGGGAGCCCATGCACCTAGATGGAAGGGCTGCTAGCTTCACTTTAAGCTAGCTTTTTATTTCCATGGCCCATAAAACTTGATTTTAGAACTTCAAGAGTTCAGCCTCTCAAATTGGTAAGGAACTGTGACCTTAAAGGCTGGTTCTTTGCTCCATTTGATCCTTGTCATAAATTTTTATCTTGAGGTGTGGTTGATTATTATGAGGTGAAGGAATAATAGAGGTTACATCTTTCAAAACTACACTAGTGTTTAGCCCGGGCGATGCCCCGGGTCTATACGTTAAATATTCTTAGATTATAGTTTTCATGTATGATAATAATCTTTATACTTTTATTATAGAAGATTTAGTTGAAGAAAATAATTTGTAAAAAAAAAAAAAAAAAAAAAAAAAAACATGATCTATATCAACTATTTTTAAGAAGAATAATTATACAAAAGTATTAGGTAGCAAAAAGGGTGGCATGGCTTTTTTATTTTCGAAAGGACCCAAGTTCAATTCTTGACATAAACATTTTTTAATTGACATGTACCGTGTATATTTTTATTTGTATGACGTGGCATCTTCTTGGTGAGGGGTGACACGTGGCGTGTATCCTTGATTAGGAACGCCTTTTAATATATAGTATAGATGTGTAAAATAAAAGAAAATGAAAAAGAAATTGATTGACTAATAGAAAGTAAAAATGTAAAATTACGCAGAGGGACTGAAAATTTGAAGAGTAAAAGGAGATGAATCGATTGAGAGGGAATGATTTATTACTAACATTTTTGGCAAATTCCATTCAAGTTTTTTGGCCAAGACATTTTTTAAGTATGTGATTAACTTTTCATTATGCTTATCAATTTTACCACAAGAAAACTACTTGTAAAATTTTTACTTGTGATAATGTACAGTAAAAGTATTATCCAACTCATTTATTTTTCGGGTTTATCTTTTTTCTTTCGTCTGGAATAACTTAATGTCCCTCCCTTTAGTGCTACAAATCTGCCTTTGGATCGGTGCTCAAAATATTAAATTATAGAGTACTAGTTACGGAATTGTACATTGGTGACATTTTCCTTTTTAAACCGTCTTGAAATATAGTTTCCAAAAGGTAACTTTGTAAACTTTTTGATAATACGGAATTAATGATATTGATGATTAAAGAAGAGCATTGAAATATGTGAAATTGCAAATGGGTACATCAAAAGACAACAAAGGGAGTAGTTCAAGTAAGGATAACAGGTTATTTATCATGATAGTACAAACTTGAATGAAAATTATCATGGTAGTCTTAACTTGAATAAATATTGTTTTTTTATTTTTATTTTATTTTTTTATTTTATTTTATTTTATTTTTTATTATTTTTTATTTTTTAATTGTTAATATGCTAATTTTGAAAGCTATATAATCTGCTGTTTACATGATTTATTTTGATCTCCTAGGAATTGGCAATAACTTCTGACGAGGCTTTAAGTTTGGAGGAATTCCCCAAGCGCGTTGTTATACTCGGAGGAGGGTAAGTAAATTTGCTTAATAATTTAGTGTTTGATAGAAGGTACAGACTACAGAGGTGCTGTGATCTCCTCTTGTTTCTTGATGGTATATTTTCTTGTATGTGTAATACATTGTCTTAATATAGTTTTATGTTCTGAATATTTGCTATAGGTACATATCTGTTGAATTTGCATCTATATGGCGTGGGATGGGTGCCAATGTAGATCTTTGCTTCAGAAAGGAACTTCCCTTGAGGTACTTGAAATTTAAATTGAAAAGATTACTTCACTTTAGGTTTTATACTTTGAGGATGACATGTCTGGTGGTAACGCTAAACAATTCCCTCTTTGAATAGATATTATCGAGTCTTACCAATGTAAAAAGGAGACAATTTTGTATGAAAGCCTTTTTGTTACATGGACTCGGATAGAAAGATCGGATACTTGGTACTTCGAAACTCAATTTTTTAGGAAACGGGGACTTTGTCCAAGATTTGGACACGGGTACGGGGACACGGCAAATAATATGTATGAAATAATTTTTATTTTTTTATTTTTTTATTCTGTTTCTTAAAATTATTTTGCTAAAAAACCTGAAAATAAATAATTAGTCCTTTAGAAATTTTTTTTAGAAATATATATATATATATATATATATATATATATATATATTTTTTTTTTTTTTTGGTTTCAGTTAAAAAAAATAAATAAAAATTTAGTTGTTTAATTTTTAGTAAAAGTAATAAGAGGGGTAAAGAAGTTTGCACACCCGCTGACCCACGTGATAACATTCACAAGGAGAATGCTTTTTTGATCTTCTCAATTTTTTACTTTTACTTCCTACCACATGCTACAAATTGGCTTTTGGTAGATTGGGGTGGCACTTGGTAGAGAGGACTGTGTGTTTGATCCCCCGCAACAACAATTGGGAAGGGACTGAAACCTAACCACTCGAGCCCCGAATCTAGATTAGCCAAAAGGGGGAACCGACCAAAAAAAAAAAAAAATACTACCACATGCTTTACCTCTCTCTTTGCCAAAATAGTTTTTTTATTGTTTGTTTCCAGCCATTGGCATTGTCTTCGATCATTTTTTGACCACCGGTTGTGAATCAAACACCTTCCTACAGTCGCTTCACAAGGGCTTACGACATCCCCAATATATTACATTTGTTTTTCATTAATTAATTAGTGTTTAGCCCGCGGGATTCACGGGTTAATTTTTGGCTAATATATTTTGTTAATTTAAGAATTGTACAATTGTGTATTTGGAATGTTCTTAGATTTTTTTTTTTTTTTTTTTAAAAATTAATACGTGCTAAATATAATTTTCATTTTATTAGTAAAATAAAATACTACATAAATTTAATGAAATATATTCTTATAAAAAAACGAAAAAAGTCAAAATTGAATTTTGGAAAGAAATTAGAAAAAAGAAATGATCTGTAAATAAGATTGAGAAAATTTACCTTTGATTGCTCCTTTAAAATCAATGTAACTATTGTTCTTGAAGTTTATATAGATAAATTATAGATTTAGGGTGAAAGAGAGGAATAGCAGAGAGAGGGAAGATAGAGACAGAGTAACAAAATGAGAGAGAGGGAAGATAAACTATTGAATTTGTGTAATTGAAAAATAGTACAAAGTATAATGAAATTTAGAGGAACCAAGTGACCTAAATGAAAATTGATCATTGTATTTTTGAAGTGATTGGAAACGTTTGGATTAAAGAAGAGGGTTTTTTTTTTTTTTTTTTTTTTTGTTTTTTAATATTTACGCTTTAGTTGGAACAAAAAAATAAAAAAATTAATAATTAGAAAAGCCAGAAGAGGACAAGTGTCCTTTAAACATCTGGTTTTAAAATAGTAGTATAGATATGCCAATTTGTAGATCTAGGGTTTCAATAATTAAAGATTTGAAGTAGCCGTGTCCAAGGGTAATTGGTCGGGTCTGACCCGGATTCCATACCCGTGACAAGGTCATGTCCTGTCGACACAGGTATGCTCAGCAGTTTTCCGAGTCCATGTTAGCGCACAATGTCGGAAACCGAATGCTTAGAAATAATGGGAAGGACAAACAAGGTTTGCTAGAAACACCCTTTACCAAATTAAAGTATATATTTACATTCCAATCTTATGAAGTTTTTTTTGTTTTGTTTTGTTTTTTTTTTTTTTTTTTTTTTTTTTTTTAAATAAAACAAATGATGTGATTGATGTCACTAGAGCAAAAGATTTTTCCAGGGAATGTCACACTGTTGCTGGCAATCTCTCTCCTTTTGTCCTTAGCGCTTTGGTATCTGTGGACTGTTGTTGATGCTTGCTTTAAAAATAAAAGGGGAAAGGAGATCAACTTTTGGTACAAAAAGAGAGATGTTAGGGCTTCTCGTCTGAAATTGATTTTGTAGGGATAGTCATAAAGAGGGAAAATGATTCATGGGGAAAGAGGGAAGTAAGGGGACAAAGGTAACTGTGACAGTGGCGGATCCAAAATACATGTATGGCAGGGGTCTCTTTTTGATAGCAAGAATGTTCATATTAAATTAACTATAATACTGAACAGTCTTATTTTACTCTAATATTTAGTAACCACTCATAAAAAGTGGTCCTTTCAAGGCATCTGAGGATTGGGGTTATGTCAAAAGATTAAAAACTCTTATTTTGCTGTTTCTTTTAGACTTATTTTACAATATAAACTTTCTTGAATATGGTAGTCTTCTGTTTTAATGGAATTGCAGAGGCTTTGATGATGAAATGAGGGCTGCTGTTGCTAGAAATCTGGAAGGTAGGGGAGTTCAAGTGCATCCAAGGACAACTCTGACAGAGGTTGTTATATGCTTTTAAGTAGTTTATAGTTCTATGTTCATTTCTCTTTCAGAATGTAACTTATTACAACACATCTTCTCAACTAATTATGTGATATATGATAAATATTCTAGCCAGTCTGACAAAGAAGCTCCAATATTTTCTTAATCTTATTAATTTAATTTTTTGGGCTGTGCAGCTGGTGAAAACTGATAGAGGTGTAATGGCTCGTACTGATCATGGTGAAGAAATTGAAGCTGATGTTGTGCTCTTTGCTACTGGTAAGTTTTTTGTACCCTTTTACAGATGTGATTGAAACATATTTAAATCCAAAGCAAGCTGAATTGCCTGAATATCTATGAAATTTTTGATGTGATTGTAGTAAATGTCTAGGCCAAATACCGTAATTAGACCTTAGTAATTATGTTACTGTTTCATATTTCCTCTGTTTTTTATTTTTTTTTTTAATTTTATTTATTTATTTTCTTAAAAAAAAAAAATTAGTTGCCATGTTTCTTTAGCCTAATTTATATCTCTAACCAATATATTTGATTATCAATAAGCAAAAAAAATATAAAAAATTGATATTGATAAAATACCATTGAGATAAATCTAAACAGGATTCCACATGGCTTTGTTTTTCCTTTATTATTAATTTCATAAGATATTCAAAGTAGATTATGTAAATACTATCAAAAACTATATGTATCAACTAATAGTAAAAAGAGGTAGTATGTGAAATAGGAATGTTTTGAATGATGTTAAGTTGGTGAAAAATAATTCGTTTATACTCCAATTTTCACATGCATAGTTTCTAATGTTGTATAGTGATAGTAGGCGGTTCTTTCTATTATTATATTTCTTTCGTTATTCAAAAATTGGCAACATTTACTTTTTTTGTCAGTTTTCACACATTTTTCTTTAGTCTTGTTATGATTATACATTTGGAAAAATATAGTCAAGTGGGTCTTGTAAGATTCATCTCGATATATATTCTCACAAAGAATTTACCTGTTATCTAGTTAAAGATATTAGAAGTTTAGATTGAGCTTTGGGATGCATAGTTACCCTTCATGTTGCAATATTAAAGTAACGGAGGAAGTATATTGCTAGGAGCTAAATTTTGACGTTGTATCATTATTTCATGTTCTCTTGCAATATAGTGCTTTATTTACTGCCCATGTCTTGATTACTTGAAACTTTATCTAATTTTCTGTGAACCAATAGTTTTAATATTGAACCAAACCCTAAATAACTTTTGTTGAATTACTGTATCTGTCTCATAGAATAATACTTAAAGAATGCGAGCATCTTCATGTTATTGGTGCTAGAGACTTTCCCTTTGCTATCACTTTTTGGTGATGATCATGATGAGTGATGTGTTGGTTGTAAGTGTGGCAGAAGGAATGAAGGGTTGGTGGTGGTTCATCCATGGTTACGTTGAAGTGGTTGTAGGTTTTAGGGGTAAAATTCTGAGTCCAAGTTAGTGGTAGGTTGAGGTTAGTGAGGGGTGGCTGTTATGGAACTAGAAAAAAGTGAAGCAATATGGAGTGAAGTCCAAGTAGTAGATGACAATGCCGAATGATCTTGGAATTAATACCCAGTATAACATGCATGATATTTGGATTGGGATTTTTCTCTTTGGCTATGTTCTCTCAACTTTCAAAAAAGGGATCAATTTTAGTAACAATTAGTCGAGTTTAGCATAAACGAGCTACGATAAGTGAAATTAAATTTGTCAAAATTCAGCTTAGTCTCTTTAAACTCAAGGATTATTTTAGAAAAATTAATTTGCACATAATACCATAGTGAGATGTGCTCACATGTCTTCCTTCATTGTGAGATGGCTTGCTTTTTGCTGTGCATAGATTGTATTGGGCTATCCAGCGTACTGTTTTGAATTTGTACAAGTCTGTTTTGTGGGCTTTTGAAGGGAAAAGGAGATGTTGTGGTCAAATGCTCTTATGGCAATTGTGATGCTTCTGAGGTCTTAGCCGTGAGACATGCCGTTTACAAAGCAAGGGAAATTGGGTTTTGGGTTGTGACGATATAGAAATATTGTTAAAGATTGTCAGAGAGCTTGAGCTAGGAAATGTGAGAGTTTAGTTTTTGGTACTGCCAGTGTGGTCATCCTAAATCTAGCCGTAGCCTGTTTCATGTAGTTTCTCGTTTGCTAGGAGGGTCGGAAATGCAGTAGCTCATGCATCAGTTATGGGTAGCATCAATGGGGTTGAAAGGTGTGGATTGAGGAGGTTCTGCAGGAATTTAAATGTCTTGTAGTATCTGTTTTTTTTCACTTTGAACAAAGTTTAAATGGCGTTTCCTCATCAGTAGTATTTAAGTTAGGTTGAACTGAAATAAAATGAAAGGAAACCGGTCTTTTTGATTCTCTTGTTGTTGGTTCTTATTAGATAACGGTTATGAAATTCATGGTATGCTTCAGTATTTTTTTTAAGGATGAGGACTTTATTTTGTTTTCACACAAGTGCATGATACTTCTGTAAAGACCTATATCCTTTGATCATATCAATGCTGCTAGATAGGTTCCGTGTCACCATTCTGACCAGTTAATGATGACATACATTAATTGTATCGTGTTTTGTTGCACAGGCCGTTCTCCAAACACAAAAAGGCTGAATCTGGAAGCTGTAGGTGTAGAGCTTGACCAAACAGGAGCTGTTAAGGTATTTCTTTGCTTATACTTGCTTCTGACCTTAACAAGCTCTATATATGCTAGCTTATTGTTTACTGATCGTGTTATGAAATAACAAGGGTGGTTTGAACTTGTGACCTTAACAAACAATGTCTTGCTGTTCTACTTTTGTACAATTCAGCTAGAATCACAGTGTGGATCTTGTCTTCTAATAATATCAACAAGAATTGCAGTGTGGGTCTTGTCTTCTGATAATATATATGTTGCTGGTGCTCCTGCTGCTAATGCTACTTCTATTAAGACCTTTGTCACATCAAGGAGAGTATGGCTCATATGGGGAAGAATTTGTACCTAAATTATTTTTAGTATTATATTAGAAAGACTCCAAATGGTGTCGCCCATGTATGAAATGTCTTATGGCAATATATCATGCCCTCAAGCTGTCATGAAGCAATTTATATGCAAATTAAGAAACATCAAGTATCACTTATATGCTAACATTTAATTTAGGCTATACACAAGTCTCATAAAAACGTGAAACTTTTACTAGGGGAAGATAATACCTTAAGCTGTTTATGTGGCCTCAACCATGATGATAGCAGGCGAAACCAATCATGCTATTAAAATTTTTACAGATGTTCCAATTGATTTATTTAAATGAATGTGTTACTGGCAAGGGTGACATATTTGTCCATGAATTTTCTATGACATTCATATTATTGAATAATGTTTCTCATTTTTTAGGTTGACGAGTATTCAAGAACAAGTGTACCAACCATATGGGCAATTGGCGATGTTACCAATCGCATGAACCTTACTCCTGTGGCTTTGATGGAAGGAACTTGTTTCGCTGTATGGTTCTTCTTTTTGTTTATCAGTAGTATATGCTTTCAATTGGCTGTAGTTCTCCCTGAGTAATTGAAAAATTGTATTCTCCAAATTTAAGTATTGATTAGCTGTTTCCTGGTTTCAGAAAACTGTTTTTGGGGGCCAAAATATCAAACCAGACTACAATTATATAGCATGCGCTGTGTTCAGGTATCATTTTTTCAATTCTGCGAGCTGTAGAATTTTGTGTACTTCAGTGGGGCAACTTGTGTCTTCAATAATACTTTCATACTAACTATGTTGTCAAATTTTTCATATATTACTCCAAGGTATATGTTCCTTTTATTTCTGCAGCAACCTTTCTATGCCTATTCATTAAGCAACTTTTATAATTTGATTTTTTGTATAGAACATATGGAATTCTTCTATTGCATATTTTACTTCATTGTATTGCTCATAGAAGAGCAACTAATGTTTCACAACAAAACTTCCATAATGAGACAAGTGACGGATATACCAATGTTTCCAATATCACACCTAGTATCTTTTTATCTCAATGCCCACCCCCCCCCCCCCAAAATAAAAAAAAAATAAAAAAACAATTATATCAATATTGATGTTACTCGTAAGGTGACATGATCAGAGTTTCGTAATGTGACATGATAGTAGCTGGGCAAAATAAAAAAAAAAAAATATTTATTCAACTTGTGAATTCACTACATTGTCTTTGGCTATCTGTTAACATTTACATTTGACCTAACCTATGGGGCTATGTTGGTACAAAAGTGACTTATATTCATATAATTGGGCAGGAAAGGGCATAAATTTGTAAGAGAAAATAGCAGTCAATGTTTTATGGTTAGTAATTTGTGGATGCTCTGATAAGTCTAGTATAGCTTTCAAACTTATAATGGTGTTTGAATCATATTTAGTGAGGAGCTTTGGATGAAGGCATATTTTTTTGAATCTCTTTTCACATAGAGGCATCGAATCATTCAAGATATGCACACATGAAAAGCATAAACAGTAATAATTTTTTTCCACTTTACATGACCCTCCAGTTAGGTGTTCACAGTTAAATTTAGAACGCATGAATTATTTGCTTACAGAAATTTTTAAATAGTGATTCCCTTTATGTATTAGAATATGGGTGCATATGTATGGTATTTATCACTTGTACAACTAATCTATATCATTTGCAAAAGGGCTCTCATAGAATATTTTCTTAGTAGCCTTATCTATTTAAAGCTAAGGTCCTTAGGTCGCTGAGAAGGTTAAAGCTTTCGTGAGTATTAGCTTTGGCTAGAGTTTAGATTTATACTAAAGATAATCTTCTATTAAAAGAAGTGATTTTGCCCCATGTTTGTATACCTTTTTCTATGGAATTCTGAGACAAGCTACCCCTTTTTCTTGCTTTAAGTTGGTTGCTCATGCTTGGAATCCTTTGTTTTGGAATGTGGGTATAAGGATAGGTTTTATCAGCCTCTGCTATGGCATGTGGATGATATATCATACATGTGAGAATTGGTAGAATTAGTGAAAGAATCTCTTTTAAGGTCATCATGCTTAGGCATTCTATGTGTTTTGTGACTAAATGAACTGATAAAGTATTTTAGGTAGATGTGCTGGCTTTGGTTACTTATGAGACAGTCTTTTGAAAACAATTATGGAGCTACTCAATTAAAAAATCTGCTTTTGCCTCTTTACAGAAGGGAAGGAAGAGACTCATGAATGAGATGATTGTAGTTGGGAAGAAAATACTTCCATGGTTTTCTACATGCTCGTTCTTATACTGTTCATTATTGTGGTTGAGTATGCCTCCTTTATTTTCCTTTGATAAGTGCATAGTCTGATTACTCATTTGGATTGTTATGCAGCATTCCTCCTCTAGCTGTGGTGGGTCTTAGTGAAGAACAAGCTATAGAGCAAGCCAATGGTGATATTTTGGTCTTCACATCATCATTCAACCCAATGAAAAACACTATTTCTCAGTACGTCTCTTTTCATTCTCTCACTGGCCTAAGGCTCTTAATTTAATGTCTGACCATTATATCTAAAGTTGTGTGACCCCTGCTCTTCTCATGCTTTCATACAATGGTATTCGATTGTTTGAAATTATAATTTAGGTGGCATCCATGTCCTGTTATACAGTGAGTGTTTTTCTTTCTTACACCGGTTGAAAATGGAAAAAGATGAAATGTTGTTTTGCATCTGTTTGTTTAGCCTGATAATTTTCTAACTTGTATTATTACCTCTTCAGCCTGGTATGTAAGAATCTGATAAATACATGCTAAAAAATAAGAACAAATATCAAAGTATGTGTAGAAGCAAAGAAGTCCTAAGATCTTGAATTATAATCAAGCATTGAAAGGAGAAGGGATCCGTTTAAACACTATCCATTTTTACGCATTTCCTCTACTACTAGTTTAAGCATAGACACTGATTAATGAGGGTACTTTTTTCTTTTTTTAACTGGACAACCTTTTGTTGCCATGATAATCATGTCAATGTATATAACCCGTCAAAAGGTGAATTTGCAAGTTGGCAATAGCTTTTGAAATGTGTTTTACAAAGTCGATAGGTTGATTAGTTTAGTTATTCTATTTTTTTTGCACGCACTCTGTTTCATGGATGGCATTATAATATTATGTTCTAGATAAGCTCCCGTGCGATGCACAAATATAATAAAAAGAATTTATAATTGTGTACATTTTCAAGCTATACTATCACTCAAAATATGTCAAATCTTTGTATGTATAAACATAAACCAAATACAAAAATTAAAATAATATAAATAAAAGAAAATTCATGTCTATAACAAAATTTAGTGGATTTTGTAATTAGACGGAGTAATCACATATATACATGGTTAATACTCGTATTTGCTTTCCTTAAGATAAGCTATATGTACCTTAAGATAGTGTACTATATAAAATTACTTGGTAGTCAATATTTTGCTTTTTAAAAAAAAAAAAAAATTGGAAGAGAAAAAAAGTTAAAGGAGAAGTTGACATGTGTACAATTTGGAGAAAGGGATAATATAAGCGATTGTTATTTTAGTATTAGTTATAGAAAAGCTGATGGTCTTTCATTTATGTTGCAATATACTCGCTCCATTCCTATTTGTTCTTGAATGAATTGTTCTGAAGCACTAGGCCATATATTGGCCATAAATGGCATAAATTTTTACCAATGCTGGCAATGTATGATAAATAATATAATGTTTTGTGAATTTATTAAATCAGTTCAATGTATATTTATTTCAAGATACTAATTTTTCATAAGCTTGTGAATGCATAGTTAATATTAAAAATTTAAAACTGTAAAATAGCTACCAGGAAGAGCTAAAAGAAAAGGAAGGAGTACCTATGTGACTATTACAGCTTTGTGATATACTCCGTTCTTTTTTTTATTGCGCCATTTGCTTTTTTGGGAAGTTGTATATTAATTGCATTATTTCTTTATTTGGTATGCTTCATTCTTTTTTTACTTTTGTTCACACACCAAATTCCCTAACTACCCTTACAAATATTTGTTAACATCCATTGTTAACCCCACCTTTTCACTCTCATTAGTTTGTATCACATGGGCAATTTTGGCATTCCCCACTGTTTACACTTTTTCTTAAATCTTGTGCGGATTTTTAAAAAAATGAAGTATGTATTAATATAAATTGTCTAATCTTTCTATATTCTCTGATTACAGGCGTCAAGAAAAGACTATTATGAAACTTGTTGTTGATGCTGAGACAGATAAAGTGCTTGGAGCATCAATGTGTGGCCCAGATGCACCTGAAATAATGCAGGTACATATATTCTGTATGCTGTGTACACAAACTTGTGTGCAGTTTTGTTCACCAAGCCCCCTTTTGCATAAGTTCTCCATTTTATTTGGTGTAATATACATTAATTAGCCCATCATAAAAACCCCCACTAAATTCTCCTAACTTATTTGGTGTGTTTATGCTGTTTTTGTGCTGCAATTTATGCATTTTATCCATCCCATATACGGGTCTTCTCCACTATCTTTACTTGGGACTTTGGGAGGGGCTATTCTGACAAAAAAAAAAAAAAAATGCGTAACAGAAGAAACATTATCATTCAACTAGTAAGGATTATGTGGAGTATGATTATTTTGGAGCATATGTTTTTAAAGTAAGAGAGGAGAATATTTATATGTCAGTGTTATGTAACAATGTTTTGGAGCAGAAACTCAGAAACCTGTTACCTTTTAAACTCAGGCTGTGACAGACAGCCTGAGTTTAGTTCCTTGATGAGGGTTACTTTGACTATATTAATGGCTTTTTTTCTCTCTCTCTCTCCCTCTCCCTCACTCTTTTATTTTTAGTTTTTTATTTGTGAGGTTAATGTCAGGCTGTATCATTTACCGAGTATGCTAAATGAAACAATCATGCCATGACAACTGAACAAGAAATGATAATAATACCATCATGTAGAATGCTATCTTACTTATGAGGTGGAATTTTATAGACAAAATCATTCCATTATAACTTTAGCTATGGAAAGTGTGGATGCATGCCTTATGAGGAGAAGCTTTGAATCATGCCTGTGACATTGTGACTATATATTGATGTTTAAATGGTCATAAATTGTACTAGAAATGTGGAATGATTCAATTTTTAAATCATGGGTTTTTACTTCTATGTTGTCAGGCGTTGTGTTTGCTAATGTGTGTAATGTTCGAAAAAAATGGAAAAGAAAGAATCTCTGTCCGTGTATCATTTCTGTTTTTCTGAACATATATGCAGTGTTTTCCTGTAACTATTTGGTATGATTGTCACTTCAATACTCATCAAACCATAAAAGTAATATTATTCTCATGAATATGCATTGCTGATCTGTTCACATATTTTTGTACAGGGAATTGCTATAGCACTGAAATGTGGAGCAACAAAGGCACAATTTGATAGTACGGTAAGACTTCATTCTCTTCTATCTAGTGTCAGAGTTGACTGCTGAAAGAAATCTGTGTATTTTGTGCACAGTTGCATGTTGATGTCCTGCTAACTTCTGAATACTGTAGCCAACTTCTGGAATATAGAAAATGCCCTTTGTCCTAGTCACTCAAGTGCTGTGCGCAATTCATTCTTCTCCTTTTCTTAGCTAATTGTTCGGTTTCCAATAGTCCATCTCAAACTATGGCTCTGTTTTCTAGGATACTCAATTTTTAACTTCAGTGGAGGCAGGAACCATGGATCCAAACGTTTCAATCGGAAAATAAACAATCCCCAATGAAAAGCAGAAAACTGATACTGCACATATTCCTTTTTTGGGAAGTTTTTTTAGCTGACACATTTCTATTTTGGGTAAATTTTATGTGGTAAATGACAACTTTACCCTCGTTTTTTCTTCCCTCTCCACCTAATAGCAGATCCTTTTCTTCTCTCTAACCCTCCCTCCCTCTCCTATCTTCCCCCATAATGGCTACCACCATGCAACATCCAACTTTCTCTCTTAGTCTCCCCTCTCACATCCAGCACCATCCCTCATCGACGACATTCTCTCGCCATTTCTTGATCTACCTCACTCCTCTTCTCATTCCTCCCTTGCTGCTGACCACTCCCATCATCGCCAATGACTTCTGGGTTTTTTCTTCCATTTTTATACCTTGTAGATCTTCTGTTATTATGGATTAAAGCCCCATTGCATTGTTGTTGGATTTAATTGATGAATTGGTTTAAAGAAGGTGGTGGCAGTGGAGTAGATGAAAGGTGGGGGGAGGGAGGGAGGTTGGTATGGCTTAGTAGATGAAGGGCCAAAGAGAGGGGTAGCCCAGGTAGGTGGGTGAAGGATGTGGAGGATTTAAGATTGCGGATAGGAGATTCTTCGGGGTTTTTTCATATATTCTTGGAGTCTCTACCCTGTATATCCTGTTTTTATGTTAGTGAATCTCATTTAGAAGTTAAAAAAGCTTTTGTGTGGACAAAGCTTTGAGAAGGCTTAATACAACTGGTATGCTCCAGAAGCGGCAGCTTTATATTTGCTTGCTTTGCCGGGCTAATAATGAGTCTTGCTCCTATCTTTCTTCACAGTGATATGGTTTGCTATCTTTGGAAAAGACTCTGCAGTTGGGTCTTTGGTCAAACCTTTGAGTGTACAGGAGTGGTTGCAGATTCGCTATGATGGCTATTTTTTGTTTTTTTTTTTGGTTGGAGTGGATTGGCTGTAGTTTTAGTGGTTTTGCTGTCCCACTTAATCTATTATGGATGAAAAAAAAAAAAAAAAAATTCTTCTTCACGGGCTACGGCAGCTGGGGCTTTCAAATTACTCTACCGGAGACGTATAAAGTAATTGGGCTGACAGTTTTACTCAATCTGAGGACACCTTGTCCTCTTGTTGTAGTTTTACTATTGTTTTGTTCAGTTTTGATGTTATATTTTTTTATTAAATTTTTTTTTTGAAAGATGTGCTTCAGTTCCAGGTGTGAATCCTCTGGGCTATGAATCCTTCTGTCCTATCCCGAATTATCCTGTTAAATTATGTCAATGTTTTGTTTCAGGTGGGAATACATCCTTCTGCAGCAGAAGAATTTGTGACAATGAGGGAAGCTTCACGGCGTGTCCCTGGTGCTGGCAAGCCCAAGACTAATCTTTGAAGGTGATTTTTATTATACACAAGCTGTATATTATATACAGAGACGCCCTGTAGGTCAAGCTTTGCAAACCCTTTTTGGCTCGTTAATTTTTATCCAATCTAGGGATTTACCGATGGTGCTTGGACAATTTGTCATCTTGGGAAATTTGCAATTGCACAGGATTGCTACCTGAGTTCATAGTAGTCATAGATCATTGAACTTCTATGGATAAAACTGCCCAATAAACAAAAGGGGGCTTGTATATACTATTATGTATTTTTTTGTTAAACTAACACTTTATTGTATGAAGTTTCTGTACTTACTGTTTATAGTATTGTCTTTATGCTTCTTAAATTAGTAAACTACTATGTTTGCATGCTTGTAGAGAACTAGCACAAAAATAAAAATATGCATCTATTGTGAAATATGAAGACTTCTCTTTTTATTGTTCCTTTCGTTGTGCATTAAGGTATAAAATAAACAGAAGACGTTTTGACTGTGTTATGGCTTTATGGGGAGTAGTTTAGTCACATGAGTGTTTTATTCGTTAGAATTTCGCTGGTATTTGTATCTATTACTTGCAATTAAGATGTATATACTACCTTTGTTCTAAAATGTTTTTGAGTTGGCAGTAGGGGTGGTTATTGGGCGGGTCAGTGCAGGTCATTAGCGGGGCGGGTCAGTCGCGGGTCATGATGAATATTTAGTGGGTCAGGGTTGGGTTAGGGTTGATGCGGGTTAAGGACGGGTCAGGGTCGAGGTAAAAGTGAAACAGGCCATTAATGGGCCTTTACCCACATACTTCCATTTAGCTGCTCATGATTGTATCTGCAGATTTCACTCTCTTTCTGTTTGTTTTATACCCACTGACTTCAAATTTGTGTCAATTACAGTTCTTCATTCATTATCAAATATCAATATCTCCCCAGAAACTTCCTTCTTTCCTTTCCTTAATCTTTCACTCTCACAATAAACAGCAATTTAAGAAACAATAATTTCGGCAAGTTAAGAATCAATTTGAAACTATGTAATGAACAATGAATTCGGCAAATTATCAATCGATAAATAGCAATTTAAGAAACAATAATTTCGGTAAATTAAGAATCAATTCACAACTACCTAAGGAACAAAGATTTCGGCAAATTATCGATCAAATTAGAACTACTCCATACCATATGTACAATTTAACCAATAATATGTTCGAGAATTCAACCATAATATGTACAATTATATACATCAGAACGAATAAAAGTACCGGTAAATTATCAGCAAACTTCCATTCTCAACGGAACCTTCTCTCTTTCCTTAGTAATCAAACGAACAAGCTTTTTGAACGCAAAATGTAAGCAATTTGAGAAAACCATCCAACACAAAACCTCATAAACGAAATCAAAAGTCGGATCATCGGGAAACGAAGAAGACCAATCATCCCAATTATTCCAACCACCACCTCCGAAACCATCGGAATTCACCGATGAATGAAGACGATCAAACATTAATAAAACGAAAACATGAATCAAAATTGAAGAACAAATTAAGAGAGAGAAAATGATGATACCTGAGAAGCAGAGAAGCGGCTTCAATGGAGAACTCTGAGTGCGCTTCAATGGAGGAGAGAGAAAGGTGGGCGGAAGAACAAAGGAGAAGAGAGAGAAAATGGAAGTGAGGGCTGAGTGGCTGACCCTTAACCATTATTATTGGGCTTTTATTTTAATTCTTAAATTATTGGGCTATAATTGGAAACCCTATAAAAGCCCTGTCCACTAAAAAATTAAAGGGTCAAAACCCTTTAGTATTAGGTCCGACCCTTTTGCCATTGGGTAATCCTACCCAATAACCAGGCCTAGTTGACAATAGTGTTGAGGATGGAAATCCTAACCTCATCCAAAGCATAGTGTTTGGGTTTTGGAGGTGATGTATGTCAACTGCTAAGGATCTGGTATTCTTTGTTATTGGATTTGGTATGTTGCTCTTTTGGATGAGGGGAGAAGGTATGTTTGGAAGGAGGGTTTTTCGGTTGGTGGTCAGTATTTGAGGTTAATTTCGATAAATTCTCAATTTAGGTTAGCGATGAGATCGTTGCTCGATGTAAATTCACTTTTAATGACTCTTTGTGAGCAAGGTAATTTGTTCACATTGTCTTGCTTCTTTTATGCCCTATTATCCTTGGTGGTCTCCTTCAATCTCCTAGTATGTATTTTTCCCTCTTTTTATTTTTTGTTTTTCTGGTTTTTGGTACTTAAGGAACCTAATAGAGTCCAGCTTTGTAAGGAAGCTGAGATAGCGGAAAAGGACACTAGCTATTAGGTCGATAGATACCACAACGATAATAGGACATCCACAAACCGAAAATGGCTGAAATACAAACATAACTACAAGGAACCATGAAAGTAGGTCTTTCATTCTCTATCTATGATAAATAGTATCTTCCAATACTAAAAGCGATAAATTTTGACAACGGATTAAACTAGGGAAATAATCTATTGAGTTTGTTTGTGATTAAAACAAAGGAAAAATTGCATATGAAACAAACAGACTTGCCACAGTTACTCAACATGGCAAAGTGGTAAATGATAGCAAACTCGTACATTATTCTGCTTCGTTTGTTTGAAGGAAAACAAATGTCATGGAAAATTATTTTCAAGGAAAACAATTTTCAATAGAAAACTTGATTTTAAAGAATATTTTCCTTTGTTAGTTTGATTAGAGGAAAACTTAAGGAGAATAGGAAAAATGAAGTAATAAAAGGAAAGGCTGGTAGGAGAGTAAAAGGAGAAGTGATGATTGAAAAGGAAAATGTGGCATATTCCTTTTTTTTTTCCAAAGGAAAAAGTTTTTCTTTTCTAAAGTGCAATTTTCCACATTTATAAAAGTTGTTTTTCATCTTTTATCAAAACAAACAAAGGAAAATAAAAAGATGAAGAAAAATCATTTTCTATTGAGAAATATGTAAATGTGAATGTTCACATGTATTTAGATCAATTATAGCTATCAATCCTATACTAGTAGGTACAATAATGCCTAATATTCTATTGTAAAAACTTACTATGAATAGAGCATGAAATAGTAGTAAAGATGACTACATTTCACCCATACTCTTTCTCTTCTTCTTTACTCTACCTTCATTTCCACCCATACTCTTTCTCTTCTTCTTTACTCTACCTTCATTGATAACTATCTTTGTCAGTGGAAAAATCTTTTAACACATTATCAGCACCAATTCATAGTCAGGTATATTTATACCTACTTCTTAAAATTATAACAAATAAATACTATCTATTTCTAAATGTTTTGAGGAGTATGCTCTATAGTTGCCCATATTTTGGGATCCTCTATACCAGAAACTCAAACATTTACTGTATTATATATCACAAAAAAAAAGGGGGCAAATCATCGGTGAAAAGTATTCTCTTACTTATGAATTTCATTACTATCCTCACTTGTTTTATTCATGTTGATATCTTGTTTTTTTTATCATGCATGATTGATATTACATACTCACCTTTTATGTAAAATTTAATTTTAGTTATTATAATTGCTTAGTAGTAACTTTGCATACATATTATTAACTAAATTGACAAATTTGACAAATTTATATTTATTATTTTTCTTTCTTTTACGTACTTTTGTGTTTCTTTCAGTTTCGAACCCATGACCTTTTGTAGATAATAGGGCTCTCGGACCACTATGGCTTGCATTCCCAGTGTGATAACCTTTTACAAATATAAATATTTATATTTGGATCATAATTTTTCCAGTACATTAAACTATTACATGATATTTTTACAATTGTACAAAACAGTAACAGATAAACCTACCTCTATAAAAGGTAGATTTTCCCCCGATTTTCACCACAAACCCCTTATCTTCTCCCATTTTTTTTCTTTATCCAAAAATCACCCAAAATTTTTTTCACCCCTCCCTCTCCAATATGTTCCCCGACGGCAACCAAAACACCCAAAATACCCACATCTTCACCTTTGAGGAAGATTTAAGGAAGATAAAACAATATCTTCTTTTAATTATGGCGCTTGTAGTTATGTTAGTAGCAATATTAATTTTTGTCATGATGTACAAGTGAAGTTTGTTTATTTTGTCGGTTTAGTAGATTAAAAGCATGTTTTTTTTTGTTTTATTATGTTGTTTTGTTGTTAATCAACATTGTATAATATTACCATTATTATTATAATTATAATTACTACTGTTGTTGTTGTTGTTGTTGTTGTTGTCATCATTTTGCCATTTATGCGACTACTATGATTTATTTTTGCCTAATTATATAATTACTCACAATAATAAACCAAGGGAGAGAAAAGAATTATATTATTTATGGTTTATTATTGTTAAATAAATTTAATTATCACGTGTTTCATTAACAAACTATAAATGTGGAAGAATTAAACATATGTGTTGTACATATGATTTATTATTATAAACTAATCATCACATGATTTGTTATAGTTAAAATGGGAGATCTTATGAAAAGACAATGTAGCATCCTAGATTTATCTGGAAAGAAATTTTTGGAATGGAAAGTGGATGCCATGATGAATTTAAAAGCTCAAGGGTTGGAGCACACTGTTAAAGATAATAAAAGTCCCTCTAGTCAAACAACTGATACTACCACTTCTGCCATGACGGTTGAAAAACCTGTTACTGAACAAGAAAAAGCAAAAGCCTTAGTGTTACTAAGCCATCATTTACATGAAGGCCTTAAAACTGAATACATGATGGTTGAAAATCCCAAAGAATTATGGGATTGCCTTAATGAAAGATTTGGACACCACAAAAGGGTGCTCCTTCCTAAGGCATTATTTGACTAGACAAATTACGGTTCCAGGATTTCAAATCCGTAATTGATTACAATTCAACCATGCATGAGATAGTATCTATATTGAGATATTGTGATCATCCAGTCACCGATGAACAGATGATTGAAAAAACACTCACTACCTTTCATGCAAGCAACATACTGTTGCAAGAACAATATCGCAAAGAGGTTTTAAAAAGTTTAATGAATTAATGAGTGTATTGCTTGTTGCGGAACAAAATAGTGATCTTTTGTTGAAAAATCATAATCTTAGACCAACTGGGTCTTTGGCCACTCATCATGAGGCAAATGCAACAATTTTTTATCCACCCGAGGCAAATGCTACACGAAGAGGTGGACGTGGAAATTACAATGGCCGTGGAAATTATCGCGGACGAGGCCGAGGACGTGGTAGAAATAATTTTCAAAGAAACAGTAATTTCAAAATTTTTGAAAAGCAGAAGGGACAGTCATCTGGAAGCCACAAACAAACTCTTTCAAAAGGAAAAGACACATGTTACAGATGTGGCATGACAGGGCATTGGGGACGTACTTGTCGTACGGCCAAACATTTAGTAGACCTTTACCAAGATTCTGTAAAAGGCAAAGAGAAAAATGCAGAAGCAAATTATGTTAATGAAGAAAATGCTCCTTGCCCTACCCTTGATGTGTCAGATTTTTTCATGCACAATGCTGAAATTGGAAATGATTTCATCTTCAGAGAAAATAACAATGCTTAAATAATCTATCTGCTAATGTAACATACACTATGTTTTAATATATTGTCTGCTGTGTACTGTATTTTAAAAACGTCTAGTCATGTATTTTTAATTTCTATCATCAATAAAAGTTTGTATGATATTATTCTAAACTAATTTCATATTTATTTTATGAAGACATGGATATGCCTGAAGTTGGTTCCGAATATCAATGTCTTTTGGACAGTGGAACAACACACACTATCTTAAAGGATAGGAAATATTTTTCACAACTAAAGTTGTTTCAGGCAAATGTAAATACTATTTCCGGGTCAGCAAAATTAATTGAAGGATCTGGAAAGGCTTGTATAATGCTTCCAAATGGAACAAAATTAACGATCAATAATGCTTTATACTCGAGTAAATCTCGAAGAAATCTCATAAGCTTTAAAGATGTACGCCAAAATGGCTATCATTTAGAAACAATGACAACAGGTCAAAAGGAGTATTTATGCCTCACGGCAGGAAAATCTGGCAAGAAACACATTTATGAGAAATTGCCAGCATATTCTTCGGGATTATATCATATAAACATACGACCTGTGGAAATCAATATGGTATCTAACCAGAAGTTAGATGACAAACATTTGATTATTTTATGGCATGATCGGTTGGGACATCCAGCAACTGGGATGATGCAAAGAATAATAGTGAATTCAATTGGACATTCAATAAGAAATGTCAAAATTTCTCGATCGGATGAATTGACATGCTCTGCATGTTCACTTAGCAAATTAATAATAAGACCATCTATGAACAAAATTGCTATTGAGTCTCCAAAATTCTTGGAAAGAATTCAGGGAGATATTTGCAGGCCAATTAATCCAGCATGTGGACCATTTCGATATTTCATGGTTTTAATTGATGCTTCTACACGATGGTCACATGTAAGTCTGCTTTCAAGCAGAAATGTTGCCTTTGCAAAATTACTTGCCCAAATTATCAAATTAAGAGCACAATTCCCAGATCATACAATAAAGAAAATAAGACTCGACAATGCTGGGGAATTTACATCCCAAACATTTAATGATTATTGTATGTCAATCGGAATTGATATTGAACACCCAGTAGCTCATGTTCACACACAAAATGGTCTAGCTGAATCACTAATTAAGAGATTGCAATTGATTGCGAGACCATTATTAATGAGGTCAAAATTGCCATCATCTGCTTGGGGACATGCTATAATACATGCAGCAACACTAATTAGATTGAGACCTATAGCTTATCATAAATTCTCACCACTACAACTTGTTTGTGGTCGAGAACCAAGTATCTCACATCTAAAAATCTTTGGTTGTGCTGCATATGTTCCCATTGCTCCACCCCAACGAACAAAAATGAGTCCACAAAGAAGGCTGGGAATTTATGTTGGGTTTGAATCCCCCTCTATAATTAAATATCTTGAACCATTGACTGGTGACTTTTTTACGGCTAGATTTGCCGGTTGTCACTTTAATGAAGCAGTATTCCCAGCCTTAGGGGGAGAGAAAGTGGACCCACGCAAGAAAGAAATAGAACTTATTTGGAATGCAACACAACTGTTGATGTTAGACCCACGAACAAATATGTGTGAACAAGAAGTCAAGAAAATTGTTCATTTACAAAGTGTTGCAAATCAATTGCCTGATGCATTTGTAGACACAAAGAAGGTGACAAAATCACATATACCAGTAGAAAATGCCCCTGCACGTATTGAAATCCCAACTGATAATAAGGCCATTGAGAATGAATCCCAAGCACGCAGAAAGCGTGGGAGACCACTTGGTTCAAAAGATTCTAAACCAAGGAAGTTGAAAAGATCGGATGGAATAGAAAATGAGACTAATGATGTCTCCCCGTCAGAAGGTCAAGAAAGACCAAATGTGAATGAAAGTAAAGAAAATGATGATAATCCAAAAGGGGACGAACAAGAAGACAACCCTACGGGGAATGAACAAGATGTTCAAAACATCGATAACAATGAAATTTCAATGAATTACGTCTCTACCGAGACTCATTGGAATAGGAAAGATGTTATCGTGGATGAAATATTTGCAAATTCCATCGCAATCGACATTGTGTCCGATGAAAATGATGTTGAACCAAGAACAGTGGAAGAATGCCGACACAGGAGTGATTGGCCAAAGTGGGAGGAGGCAATGCTGGCTGAGTTGAAGTCACTTGAAAAACGAGAAGTTTTTGGAAAAATAACTCTTACACCAGCGGGTGTAAAACCCGTTGGATACAAATGGGTATTTGTGAGAAAACGTAATGAGAAAAATGAGATAGTTAGATACAAGGCAAGACTTGTAGCCCAAGGATTTTCTCAAATTCCGGGGATCGATTATGAAGAAACATATTCTCCAGTAGTTGATGCAACTACATTAAGATTTCTGGTAAGTTTAACAGTCACAAAAGGACTGCAAATGCGATTAATGGATGTAGTGACTGCGTACTTGTATGGGTCACTCGATACAGACATTTACATGAAAGTCCCCGAAGGACTAAAACTACCAGAAAACCACAAACCTAGACAATTACTTTCCATAAAACTAAAAAGGGCACTTTATGGATTGAAACAATATGGAAGAATGTGGTATAACCGTCTCAGTGAATACCTTATGAGAGAAGGGTTCAAGAACAATCAAATTAGTCCTTGTGTTTTCATAAAGCGATCACAATCAGGATTCGCTATTATTGCACTTTATGTTGATGATTTGAATATCATCGGAACCCCAAATGAACTTGAGAAAACTGCAAAATACTTGATGAAAGAGTTTGAGATGAAAGACCTTGGAAAAACTAAATTTTGCCTTGGATTGCAAATTGAGCATTTGAGTCATGGTATTTTTGTCCATCAATCAAACTATACAGAAAGAGTTTTGAAAAGATTTTTCATGGACAAAGCAACTCCAATCAACTTCCCAATGGTTGTTCGTTCTTTGAATATGAAAAACGATCCATTCAGGCCCCGAGAAGAAAATGAAGAAATTCTGGGTCCAGAAGTACCATACTTAAGTGCAATTGGAGCCTTAATGTACTTAGCTAACAACACTAGACCCGACATAGCTTTCTCTGTGAACTTGCTAGCCAGGTACAGCAATGCACCGACATACAGACATTGGAAAGGAGTCCGACACTTACTCTGATACCTACGAGGGACACAAGACCTTGGTTTATATTATGAACCGAAACAAGGTGCTGCTCTCATTGGATATGCAGACGCTGGATACTTGTCGGATCCTCAAAATGCCAAGTCACAAAATGGATATTTGTTTACTTATGGCGGCACAGCAATATCATGGAAAGCAACAAAACAGACATTGACCGCGACATCCTCAAATCATGCAGAGTTGATAGCACTTTATGAAGCAGGACGAGAATGTGTATGGCTGAGGTCGATGATTAGTAATATCCAAAAGGAGTGTGGAATGAAAGCAATAACAGAAAACCCAACAACCATCTTTGAAGATAATACAGCATGCATCGCTCAAGTAACTGAGGGATATATTAAGGGAGATAAAACAAAACATATATCTCCAAAACTATTCTTCACACATGATCTGCAAAAGGATGAGGAAATAGATATTCAACAAATTCAATCTTGTGACAACCTTGCCGACCTGTTCACCAAATCACTTCCTTCTAAGAAATTTGAGCAATTAGTTCACAAAATTGGAATGCGTCATCTTCGTGAACTATGTTGAGATCAGGGGGAGTATTATATGCACCGCACTCTTTTTTCCTTCGATCAGGTTTTTATCCCAATGGGTTTTTCCTGACAAGGTTTTTAACGAGGCGGTATACCAAAACATATAATACAATAATATCGTTGTGTTTCTTTTAGCTATAGGTCTTATCCTATAGAGTCTAACCTAGCAAGATTTTTAAGGCAACTCACACCCCATTTCATGTGAACATTCAAGGGGGAGTGTTGAGAAATATGTAAATGTGAATGTTCACATGTATTTAGATCAATTATAGCTATCAATCCTATACTAGTAGGTACAATAATGCCTAATATTCTATTGTAAAAACTTACTATAAATAAAGCATGAAGTAGTAGTAAAGATGACTATCTTTGTTGGTGGAAAAATCTTTTAACATTTTCAAGTAAAATATTTTCCACCAAAACAAACAGAGTCGTTCATCTATTCACAATTTCACACTCGCACTATTCATATTCTCTTCACTGATTCACGATTTCACGCTACAGTGGTAACGCGCAGCAAACCCCCATCCAAATCCCAAATTGATTCATCAGCTTGCTTTTTCCTCTGCTCACTTTCTCTCTCCTCTTTTCAGTGGTGCGCCACCTGCAACGGCGGCCGCTGATGCTGGTCTTCCTCGCCGTTTCTTTGTGGCTCCCATGCTCCGTCTCTCTGCTACCGTTGGTTTCGTTTTAAACCACCAATGATGCTGCACCTCCGCCTCCTCTTCTGGCCAAAGCCATTGCCACACGCCCACACCTCTGTTTGTCTCCCTTCTGTTTATGTCAATTATCAAAGTACGAGGGTTGATGATGTTGATTAAGGCCCAAGACGAATCAAATGAATTTGTTCCAAATTCTTCGTTGTTGTTATTGACAGTTAAGGTAATTAAGTACGGAGTAGCTCTTTTGAATTACCTTCTAAAGTAGACTTTAGGTGTACCATTTTGTTATCATAGGCAATTAGGCATGCTTAATTGCTTATTCTTATGTTAAAGGTTGTTTTATTTGCCTTCATAAGTCTCCAAAATATGAGGGAGCCCCATTGGTCTTTTTGATATTTGGTTTATGGTATCTAGGGGTAGAATTGTAATATCATAGGCATAATGGCTACTTGAAGTAGCAGACTAGCAGCTTTGCTCTAAAACCTTTTATATCAAGTAGTGGTTTTATTGCAAAACCTTTATATCAAGTAGAAATTTAAACTTGTATTTTCCCCGAAAATATTGGTATGCCGTATGCAGTATGCTTAATAATCATATTGAGACTAAAATAAAAAATACACCGAAATGAATTCAAACATAACTTATGAGTGGGAATTTATGAGCAACATTTTTCAAGTATGGCCCAAAAAATAAAATAAGGCAATATTTATGGGATGGATGGAGTTATGACTTTATTTTGTGGTAAAATTGATGCGGGCAGAAATATAATGGAAGGATATACTCTGTTGATAACGATTTCATATTATTCGTACGGTTAAGGCAAAGTTTTGGCCTGGGGTTCAATTCCTATTAGGGACACCTTGAGGGTAGGGATTTCCCTTATCCTCCCCCCTTACTCCCAAAGTGTCTAGCTCGCAAAATCGGCTGGGTTGACCTGTGAGAGTTTCTGGTCTAATAGGCTATTCATCTTACCTATCTAAAAAAAATATTGACTAATACACTTGTGATGGAACATAATAGGACAAATCAAATTGTTTGTAATGAATTTGATATTTGTGTCTATCACTTTTCTTATTTGAGACAGGCCACCTCCCATAGATATCCAGCTTCTTCATTAGGATTGCATGCTTCAATGTTGCTAGCTTGTGTACACCCCACTAGATCCATTGCCTTCAAGGACTCTGTTTCCCAGTTTGTCCTGTATATCACTGTTAATATAGAGACTGCACATGCTACTTGAGCTGCTAAAAGTCCATAACAAAGGCCGACGAATCCAAGTTTTAGAACAAAGCCTAAAACTATGGCGACTGGTGTACCGACCATGTAAAATGCATAGAAGTTGATTCCTGCTCCGATACTAGGTCTTGCACTCCCACGAAGAACGCCACATGCTGTAGTTTGTGGGCAATTAGCCAGCTCACAGAGTCCTATTATAGGGAGTACAGCTGCTGTAAGCTCTAAAACCTCATTATCCTGTGTAAAAACACTTCCCCATACTCTTCTGCCAAGAGTTGTCCATAAGAGACCGAACAATGAGCTGAATAGAGCCAAACCTACTGCTAACTTTGATGTTAAACAGGCCTTTTTAGGATGACCAGCTCCAAGCTCATGCCCAACTCGAGTTGATACTGATGCACTAAGTGCGGCAGGTAAGGTGTACATGAGTGAAGTTGTTTGTATCACTATAGCTGAGCTTGCCAGTGTGACTTGTGGTTTTTCAAGGTAACCAGCAAGAAGGGTCATGAGCTCGTACCACCACCATTCTAGGCAGACACCTAGACAACTTGGGATGGAAAGTTTAAGGAGAGTTCCCCATTCCTTTCCTAATGAAGGTTTTAAGTCTGTTAAATATTGTGATAGCAACGGCACACGTATTGGATCTTTGCTTTTATTGGTGTAGGAAATGTATCCTAGGAGGAGGAATACAACATTAAAGTCGGTGATGAATGTAGCAACAGCTAAACCCTGAACACCTAGATGAAGTTTGAAAGATAAGAGAATGGCTATGGGGATATTTAGCATAACAGGGAGCAGAGTGCACCATAGTAATGGCCAGGTTGTCCCTTTACTACGCAGATAGATACGAAGAGGATGAAGAAAGCTAATGGCAATAAGATCTGGGATTGCAAACCGGCAGTATAGGCTTGCAACTCGAGTTATGTCTATGTCTTGATGAAGCATAATCATGAGAGGCTCAAGGTTGTACCATAAAATCCCAATGGGTAGCGAGGCACTCAACAACAATATTATTGTTCTACTTAGTGTAATGTTTAAGACTGATATATTACGAGAACCAAAAGCATGGCTGCAAATTGGCTCCATTCCCATGGCTAGGCCCGACAGCACTGAGTAGCCGCTGATATTAATGATGCCAATAGCTAGTGCTCCGCCTGCTAGTTCAAGACTTCCAAGCCTTCCCATACATACGACCAAAATCATATTTCTGAGATAGCCCACCAAACTCATGGCCACTATTGGGAATCCTATATCTGACATTTTCTTTAACTCTTCTACCACCTGGAAAAGCAATTCAGTGCCAAAATTATAAGAACTTGCTATAAAAAAAAAAAAAAAAAAAATGTTTGACAGCACTAACAGACTTAAATCTCATACCTCTGTAGTTTCTGATTGATTTGTGGAAATACATGACTCAACCATATTCTAATCTCTTATAGCTTTGGAAAATAGGAGAGCAGAGCAATGAGAATCACACTGTTTTCTTTTATGATGGGTTTGAAGTAGTGTGTGTTCTGTGTTTCAGAACAATGTGAAGCAATTTATAAGGCTTGAAGCCACTGTCAGTACTGTTACTTTTCTCTTTTCTTTTTTTTTTTCTTTTTTCTTTCAAAATAAAGATTTTCCCTTTTATTAAACTTTAATTTAGATAATAGAGAGTAGCATTGTGATAGGCATGCATTGAACTATCCTGTAGGTGTTCTATTTGAAGTCATATTGTATAGGTGGTCCTTAGTTTTCAGCTTCTATTTATGGCAAAATTTGCTATTATGGTTGCTAACTGACTGTTAACAAGACATAGATTTTGCAATATATAACTAGTCCTTAGGACCCTCATTGCTTAATCTTGCTTATGGGTTATGCGAAAAGTGCGAAGCATGTGCATAAACCTTATTTTAGTTGAACTTGTTTAAAATTGTACTACATTCCTGTACTGTGCTGCACATAATTTTTAGAAAAGTTCAGTATCTTTGAATCTAGGATCTTCAACCTGATTTTATTTACTTTCAGAAATTAAAAAAAAAAAAAATAAAAAAAAAATAAAATTATTGCAGTATGACAAGTTATTTGTGTTGGTTTCTCATTAAAATGTACTGCAGGGTTTGAAGTGTTATATCATACTGACTGGGTTATCCACGTTTTCTAATTGGTTAATATGCCATGTGCAGCCTATCAATTTACCATGTGCACTCGTTTTCAAAACAAATTGGAAGGGAATAGCATCTTGCTGATCGTTTCGATTGCCCAAAATGGTGGTTTACAATCTGTGGCTGTACCACCAAAGGACTACAAAAGGAAAGTTGGCAAAAAATGTTTCCTATTGTCTGCATCACAAGTACACTCTAGAACATATGTGAATTTGCACGTATCGTTTTATGATTTTTGTGACAGATATTACAGCTATGGACCTAATTGTTTATTAATTTTTCTTAAAAATGCTAATTGCCCAGGAAACCTAATTAACATGACTAATATCAGATTAACAAAACTTTCAAAAATTTACTATTATATTTCGTCGACCAATACTTCCTGATTGATCACTGTTCGGAAATAATAGGCCAATTTGTCAATGTTCATGGGAAGCTACTCTTTGGTAGTGTATCAGAAAAGTTCCTTGAAAATCACATGCGACTATAAATGAGTGAATTTGGAGAGTTTATCTTGAAGAATGTTGACTAAAACTTTGATATATGTAATTACTGGCAAATGTTTTGTGCTTTGATGACTTGTCTGCTAAATTCAGGCAAGCAATCCTATGTCTACTGTATTTGGACTCCTGCAGATGCAATAGAGGCCTCTTCTTTCACTGAAAAGTGTATTTACTACAACTTTGCCATTGCAAGTCTTTTAAGGTTTATTTCACTTTTGCTTTATCTTTACTACTTTAAGTAAGGAGTTACAGGCTTTCAATTATTTAGTAATTTTGTAATTATCTTTCCTTACTTTTCTTTTTGTTGGAGAGGGGGGGGGGGGTTGGGGTGGATTATGGTATATTTGGAGTTACATTTTTTAGGATTTTTTGTGACAAATACACGGCTCTTTATATGGGAGTTGTACACTACAGTTTCCGGTCTGGCAGATCTGTCTGCTAGATGGTATAGCCCCTGCTTGCAGAAGTTACTCTTGAAGTCTTGAGCGGGTATATCAATATTGATTCGATCTGAGATCTTGGCTTTCAAATTCGAAAAAGACTCAAAGAAAAAATTCCTTTTTTTTTTAAGTTCGAAAATGATTCAAAAGGGAGTTTTAAGCAACAATTTCGGGTGACTTAGAGACCCATGCCTGTCACATCTGCTTATAACAATGCATGTGCTATTGTGCATCATGTAATTATCATTGCTTAGTTGGTTGAATCCTTTTTCTAGTTATTTGTTTACTTAGCTCACAAATTATAATTCTCATTTGCTATTTGATCATTCTAATGATGTAGATTCTCGTCTGACGTCGTTGATAAGATCTGTGTTAGCTATTCTTCCTATAAATAGGTTGATTAAAAGTTAAGCTGCCTATAACAGGGGGTCGGACGAACAGCTGCAACTATTTCTATAGCACAAAGTACTGCAGATTGATTCAATTTGCAGATTGGCTTGATATATGAAGAAAAGATGGTTCTAACCACCAATAAAGTTTACATATCTATCTAAATAGTCTTGGTCTCAAAGCTGGTTCAAGTATTAAGCCCCAACATCCGACAGAGCTGACAATGGTTGGTTTCTTCTCTTGTCATGCCCTGCACTTGTATTAGTTCCATTCTTAATCAAAGCATCAGAGTTGAGAACATTATTGCAGGCGAAATCGCAAGATATATGCTGATGAAAATAGTACAGTATATAGCTTCCAGTTTGCTTGCTTGTGGTAGCATATCATCTAATTACAATTTGAGCATATCTAATTAAAGATTTTCTTTCTTTGAGCAAGTCTTTGTATGTAACCCATTTAATCTTCAATGGGTATAGTACTTTAATAGCCTTATAAGTGATTCAAGATAACTAAAGTGATATACAACCAATTTGATCTACAAGTTTGATTGATTTACACAAGTGTTGTTCGTTAAAAACTTATTTCCCATTGTGCTCTATTTTAAAATTAATTACAAATTTATTGTCCATGTAGGTTAACTGATTTGGGTTATAGGGATGTTAACAAGCCGAGCCTCCCGAGCTTGAAGCTTGTTGGGTCGGAAAAATTGAGCTCAGATTGCGCTTGAAATGTCGACTTTTGCTTGGCTTGGGGCTCGATTATCAAATGTTGATCTAGTCTTTACCTGTTTTTATCAAATTATAAAATATAGCCCAATAATGACAAATAACCCCCAAGGCCTTGATGTTAATAGATTAGTTTAGATTACAACGTATTTTATCAAAACAAATCAACGTGAAAAATTCAAGTGTGTTAAAAGCTTTCAAGCTGAGCTTGGCTTGGCTTGTAAGATCTCGAGTTTTGACCAAGGAAAACATCAAATAGTTTAAGAGCATGTTTGACTCTTTAACACCCTGTCATTAGTATCACTTCCGTCTGAAATTTCCGGATAGTTTAAGAGCCTGTCATTAGTACCACTTCCGCCTGAAATTTCCGGAAGTTTCCCCAGACTTCCGGATTTTTCAGGCGGAAGTCTGGGTTTTTCGAATATTTTTTTTTGTTTGTCGAGTTTTTTTTTGTTTGTCGAGTTTTTTTTTTTGTTTTGTTTTCATGTTTTTCGTGATTAATATTTTTGTTTTTTATTTTTTATTTTTGAGTAATATAATTTTATTTATTTTATTGTTATTGTTATGTATATGTTTTTTTTATTAATTTCGGAATTTTTTTTTTCCGCGTGATTATTGATATTTAATTTTTTTTAGTAATATAATTTTAATCTTTTTTATTGTTAATGTTATGTGTAATTGTTATGTATTATGGTTTTTATTAATTTGGAATTTTTTTCCCTCGTGACTATTGATATGTAATTTCTTCTTTTTTTGACTAATATAATTATATTGTTTTTGTTGTTATTGTTATGTATTGTTGTTATGTAATTTTTTCGTGATTAAAATTTTATAAAAAATTGATTGAAATTATTATTGTTGTTGTTATTACCATTGTTATTATTGTTGTTGTTGTGTTGTAATGTTGCCGATTTTGTGGTTTATATTGTTTTGATTTGTTTTATTGTTATTTTTGTCAAATTATTATTAGTTATTATTGATCCTTGTAATGTTGTTATTATTGTTTATTTGATTTGGTTTATTATAGTTTTGAAATGATATTTTTGAATTTGAATATTAGTGATTCAACTTTGATATCATAGTTGTGTGTGTAAGTATTAATGAAATCTGATTTTGTACTTATTTAATGCAGATTGAGGGTTCGAGTGCTCGACATGCAAGATCAAGACGTTTGAATGCATCAGTTAGGAGGGAGTTAGGTGGTGCAGGACCTTCGGAGGCACCGTTTCATCATGAGCAGCAGTACGGGTCTGCTGGTACTTGGTCGGGGGAGCATCAGTCAGATGAGAGCGCCCCCATGTACTCGTCGGGTAGATTGTCTTTATCTAACGATGAGGACGACGAGCGAGCTAGTCATGCTGATCGAGATTCAGAGTACGGATTATCGTATCGTGTATAGGGCTCAGCATGGGGGATTTGTTGGTAGTAGTGAGCCAGGTCAACTTTCTACCAGCTCATAAGAGACATAGGTAGTAAAGGAGCCGATGCCAGGTGGGCCTGAGGATGGTACTGTTATTCCTAGTTTTGGGGTCACGTGGCTGCATATATATGGGGTGGGCAGGAGCAAAATGTTCTACGGTGTTTGAGCAGGACACAATTGTGTTCTGAATTGGGTAACTGGCGAGGTCGTCTTGCGCAGGAGCACCTGGAACTGATTGATGGCAGTGGTCTATCTCACTTACCCGGGATCATGTTCAAACGATTTGACTGGCCCTTGATTTCTGTTTTTGTTGAGAGATGACAGCCAGACACGAACACGTTTCACATGCCATTTGGGGAGATCATGATCATGCTGCATGATGTGTATCATATTCTAGGGCTTCGTGTCGATGGTTCCATGGTTTCCACTACTCCTAGCACGGACGTTTTACGGGATGCGTGCTCGATTACCATGGATATGACTGCGGAAGAGCTGAATGAGAAGTGTGATACTAAAACCGTATGGCAGGGTAGTGGGGTGCTCACTGAGAGGATAATGGAGTCGACCTTGGAGGCGCATAGGCCCTTCAGTGTCCATTACAGGGCGTACTTGTGGTTAGTACTTGGCGGATGTCTGTTTTTGGATAAGAGTGGTAACCGTACTCATCCTTCCTTCCTCAACGAGCTTTTTGTTGAGGACGTTCAGATTAGTGAGTACTCCTGGGGTTCTGCTGTTCTAGCATATATGTATCGGCAGTTGGGTACAGCATCACGAAGAGATGTTGATTCTATCGCTGGTTGTCTTACACTTCCGCAGGCGTGGATCTACGAGTACTTTCCCTATTTTCGGCCTCAGCAGGGGACCTTGACCAGAGAGCTTAATGTTCCTCGTGCGTCTGCCTAGGATGTCGGATCGGGGTGCCCCAACAAGAGCATGGAGCGCCTCCTCGCTTTTCGTGCTAGATTGGATCAGCTGACTGACAATGAGGTTAACTGGCTATCGTACGGAGTTGATCCAGCACGACGCGTGCCTGCTACTTTATTCATTGGCTGCATCCAGTACCGTAGCATCATTGAGCCATATATGCCTGATTGAGTGGTTCGACAACTTGGATACATCTAGGGCATTCCACAAGCCATCATCTGAGAAGGCAAAGAGACCGACGAACTTGAAGATGTATCGAGTAGACTTTCTGCCAGAGATGACATCTGTGATGTGGACTTGGTTTGTCCCTGGTGCGTCTTTCAGTGTGGTGTTAAGTCCCCTCAGCAGACTTGGTGGTGGTGCTCCTACGATCGGTCCTGGTTACATGCAGTGGATGTACCGATTTTCTCATCCTCGTGTTTCTCCAGTTGCGTCATCACATGGGAGTCGCGCACTGTCAGAGAGAACTAACAAGGATTACGTAAGAACTTGTGTTTTTTGGTTCTATAATTATCACTACAAATACTTGTAATTTGTTTAATATGCTGTTTTTTTAATTGCAGTGGATGGGTCGGTACATGGAGGTTATCAACAGGACACTGGAGGAGTAGCCAAGCTTGTCGCGTGATACAAGAGCAATGGTTGAGGCGCTACGAGCTGATTGGAGGGCGATGATGGGGTTGTAAATTCCCAGTTTATTAGTTTTATTTGACTTGTACGCATTTCGTTTATTTACTCTACATTTGGCATGTATTTTAAGAATTGGACTATTGTTTTTGTGTGGTTTTAGTTAAAACTTTGTTTAATTCAGAATTTTTATTTACACTTTACATATCTATAACTGTTCACAATAAATGAATGTACATAAATGCGTTCATTATCTAATTAACGCATCCCACATGTTCTTTCTAGCTGCATAACGCTGATCCCAACCGTCAACACTTGGCTCGTGGTTCTCGATCCACCAACCTGCAATCGGGGGAAGAGGTGAATCTGGTGCAAGGTCAATACAGATAAAATGTGAGCCCCCGACTGTAGCCATCACAAACTCTGGTTCAGGTGCAGTGACCCCCCTTCGTGCCTGCAACGGCAAAATCGTGAGGCATGGGTAGTAGCAGGTTGGTACGGTGCCAACACCAAGAATAATAACCATTGCGGTGAACCAATTAGCAATAGGAAATAAATCTTGAATTGCAGCCATCCAATGACGGGATCAACCGCCCCACCGTTCCATCTAATTCGCTCCACATTGATCCCAAGCCTTCCAAGGCCGTAAATCCTCTCATACAGGGATGGATAACTAAGGACCTCGTTTTCTATTGTTTCTCGAGCGTCATACCATCATCCTTGATCACCGAAGAAGAACTCGGCCACACAACGAAAGCCGCAGTTACCATCGCCGATGACATCCTTCCATCCTGTAATGTAAGGCAACATCGGCCCTGGAAGCATGTGTCGATAACGACTTTGGCTAATGTCACATGGATCTTCTGCACAAATTTAGGGTTCAGTTTTTAGTACAGTAAATAATGAAATACGTGAAAATCACAATAGTCAATCTTACCTGTTTGGCGTGCACCACGTGCAGTGTTTTGGTGGTTCACATATTCAAAATAACAAGGATCACGTCTTGTATCATTGTTTCTTCGTCGACCACGAACCTGGTGGTTTACAGCAGGATCTCCGAGGTTAGAATGATCCGGATGCAGTTCTTCTTCAATGATGCGAGATATGTTTTGAAGAACAGCAGGATCACTACCGATTACCTCATCCATTAGAGAACGAAAATGTGCGGCGTCCTCGGCCGAGTTATTACCGAACACCGGTTCACCATCACCATCACCATCACCGATAACCAAGGTCTTCCAGAACGGGTGAATTTGCCTGATATACAAGCCTGTCCCTGCAGCTAGAGAATCATGTATTTGGCAAGCACAGGGCAAACCGTGGGTCACACGCATTGCACATCCACATCGCTCATACACCTGATAGCTCAGCTCCCTCATCCTTTTCGTCTCGTCATCGAGAACCTTCAAATAATACTGAGACACCTTGCCATTAATACGTGACAGTGGAAATTGTCGGTACTTCTGACCTATCTTCGACCTAGAAGCCTCCAAACTGTTACGAATTGCGATGATCTGATTACCAATGTGGCTATGAACTCGGGCCCATACGTTATCCAAAGAACCTGCACATTACGAAAAAAACCGTTATGATTTATAACAAAAATAACTACAACAAAGTACATACATGAACTACAACATCCAAACAACAAACCTGTCGAGGACTCAAACCACATCTTCACGGCTGAATGTTGGCTCTCAACTCTGTAGGTGCTAGTGTTGCCTAGATGTAGAACTTGGTTTGTCCAAAATGTCACAAACTTCGTTTTATGACAAAGCCATGTTCTCTCAACATATTGTATCACCGCTGGATAACTTGCCCACCGATCTTTCAGTGTATCTACAGCAGCATCATAATCATCCTCGGTTGCAGCATCCATGATACGTTTCCATTTCCCATTTTTGAAAGTCGCATCGATCATCTTGTTTTTGAACATAGCAGAGACCCGAGCCTCCCCATCTTTGTTAATGTGCCATTGACAAAGTAAGTGCGGGGGTCCCTGGAAACACTTCCCTCAAGGCCGCACATAGCCCAAGATCATGGTCTGTCAAGAAAACCGACGGTTCCTTATCATACCCAATCAAGTCTCTCAATCTCTGCAAAACCCATCGATAGCTTGTCGTGCACTCGTTCCGCATGAACACGTAACAAACGAGGAAATTCTGATTTGTCGGTGTCACACCAACTATCTCAAAGAACGGCATCCCGTATTAGTTGGTCTTGTAAGTGGAATCCATACCGATCACATATGGGTACGTCCGAAAGATTTCTACCGTGACTGGGTGCGCCATAAAGGCGTGCTGTAAAACACCTTCATCATCAGACATGACCCAGTAAAGATACTGACTCTGTCTCGCCAAATGTAGAAATTGCTGAACAACTCCTCTCCCATCAGACATCTGCGATCTCAAGTCATTCCGGCAGTTGTAGATGTGTCTGATGTTTGGATGATCATCAGGAAATTGCTCGGTAATAGTCGCCATGATGTTATGCGGTGCAACCTTAGACTTCGTCATGTCACGCACAACCTGCTTCGCATCCGGGCTCAACCCACTAATTTTACGATGCCCCTCTGGATACGCAATCATTGAATGGTTGTGGGTCCCAGTTTCATCATTTTTCGCCCGGATAATCCAACTATCGGTGATGAACTCGTAGTATATCTTGATGTAGAAAGGACAACCATTGGCTTTGGTTTTTGTGTCCTTCCGAATTGCGTTCTCAAGATCTCTCGGCTTACTCCTGCGTCCCCGATCACATCATAAATACCGATATGGTCGACCATCTCTGGTTTTGTTGAAAGACGATTTCACCAAAATAAATCCCAGATTTATGGCAGCATCATCCTCCCATTTAACTGCATCCTCAAACGTTCGAAAAACCTTGTCTGTCACAAAATTTGCACTGTAATTCACAACGTCACCGCCTTCTTCAACCTCTGAATCCTATAAAAATACAAGACAAACACAAAAAACACGCCAAGATTAGCATAATAATAATAATAATAATAATAATAATAATAATAATAATAATAATAATAATAATAATAATAATAACAACAACAACAACAACAATAACAATAATAATAACAACAATAATAACAATAATAATAACAATATCATAACATCAACAAATAATAACTAATATTAACTAACATCAACTAACACTAACAATAACTAATATCACAACATTAACTATTATTAACTAACACTAACATTAACTAATATTAAATAACATTAACATAAAGTAATACTAACAAAAATAACTAATAATAACAATAACAATAATACAATACTAAAAACAATTACAAACCACATTTATTTCGCAACCCAATTTATACTCATCGATAAAAAAAAAAACAACAACAACAACAATAATCATAATAATAACAACAATAACAATAACAACAATAACAACAACAACAACAACAACAATAATAATAATAATAATAATAATAACAATAATAATGATAATAATGATAATAATAATAATAATAATGATAATAATAATAATAATAATAATATAATAATAATAATAATAACAACAACAACAACAACAATAACAATAATCATAATAATAAAAAAAACAACAACAACAACAATAATCATAATAATAACAACAATAATAATAATATTAACAATAACCATAATAATAATAATAATAATAATAATAATAATAATAATAATTAATAATAATAATAATAAATAATAATAATAATAACCAACAACTTACAATAACCAAAAAAAAAAAAAAAAAAATTAACATCCGCCCATTATTTCCGGATGTAATGGGGAGGATCTGCCTGAAATTTTCAGACCCTCCATAAGAGATCCGGATTTTCCAGGCGGATCTATACATCCGCCTAGAATTTCCGGCGGATCCTCCTTATTATTTCCGGAAATTTTGGGCGGATCTCCCCTTCTAAAAAAAATAAAAAATTTCAACGACTTACAAATTCTTCCGACGAATCCTACGGCGTACGATCGTTGTTGTCGTTCATCGTCCAAGATCAGTCGCTACACCTTGCTTATTTTTTTTCCGTAAACAATTTAAAATTTTTGATGGTAGGCTCAGGATTTTTTTAAGCCAAGTGGTGGGGTCGGGATTTTTTTAACCCAAGTGGTAGGCTCGGGAATAATATTTAACATCTCGGTATCATATGTGACAAGGTGGTGGACCCTTATATAGGCCAAATTCACACAAGGGCAAAAATGTCATTTCATTTTAAAATGGGAGCGTCACCCTGTAAATTGGGATCGACGAATAGCAGTTGACTTTTTTTTTAGCTACTTTTCTCTACTTTATCGCCTCCTAAAAATAACTAATTAACTAGATTAGTCCCATGTGTTGCATGATTTAAATAGTTATTACTACCTCAATATTATATTATTTGCTACTTTGGTGTTTTATTTGTAATTTGTGAGATATAAACAATTCTAAAGTTGCAAATAATATGAAACGGAGGTAGTATTTGTTTAAAATAGTAGCCATTATTCAAAATATTTGTAGTCATATTAAGACTTGATACTTAGGAGGAAAAAATAGGGAAAAAAAAGGATGATGTCAAAATTAGCTTAAAACAGTTAACGCAAAATTCTTTTTCATAAGAAGTTGATATGTGTCCATCAATGATATCAGCATGTTTTGTTTTAGTAGTAATTAAATAGAGTACAAAATTGTGTTACCAACAAAAAGTGGGCTCACTTTGTAAGATTATTACCCCAAATTCTATAGATTTGAGGTTTGCTTGGATCCTACCAAGTTAGGGTGCTTAACAATCTGAGGATAAAGATTTCTTCCCTTACCCTCACTTCTATTCCCAATGCTTGGCCCGCAAACAACAACAACAACTAAAAAAAAAAAAATAATAAATTATTTTATGATTACATTTACTGAAATGAAAGTAAATAAAATAAAATCTTATATTTTAAAAATGAATTTTCATAAACAATAAGAGAATATGTTCATTTTTATGGATAAAAAAATAAACATTCATCAAACTGATATATATTTGTTACTTTCAAATCATATTTATTCAAAACAAAAAATCAAATTACTAAATGGGTATATATACTTATGAAAAAAAAAAAAGAATGAATTGTTACTAATCATTAAATGGGTGCTAAATAGACCTACACAAATGAACGTGCCCCCACTACAAGCCCTGATCTAACCCTAAATTAAATAGGGCTAACTTTGTCCAACATGTAAATGGACGGGCTTTTAAAGGGTCAACAAAATTATGGACTTTAAAAGGGTTGGACTAGGTTTTAAATGGGCCGAAATGGGGTAATACTTATGAGGGCTTTTTTATCCTCTAAACTTTTCTCCCATTCTATTTTTCTGATTCTATCTCCTACGGTCCTACCTCTGATTTCTAACTCTCTCTCCTCACTCAAGTATAAACACTAAAAAAAAAATCCCCAAATTTCTCCGCAATTATAAACCCTAAATTTCCCCTAATCTCTTTTCTGCTCTCATGTTTCGGCGTTTACGAGTTCCAATCCTATAACTGGTAATAGCAGTACAATCCCCCTTTAATGGTTTAGATTTTCTTTTGCTTAATGGGCTGTTATAACATTGTTTACAAAGATTAAATGGGCCGGGCTGAGCTGGGCTTTGAGGCCCATGACCCCGACCTGGCCCATTTTAAAGTACACTTGACCCTAGCTCAGCCCGACCCATTTAATAAAAGCCCAGTCCGGCCCGGATCCGGCCCTTTGAACAGGTCTAGTGCTAAATAAGGGTAACACCCTCTGTCACAGATAATTGACACAATTAAACTTTACACAAATGTCGATGCACTAGTTTGACCTTAATTATATATAGTTTTATATTTGTAAAAAAATTATAAAAAAAAGTTAAAATCATTAAACCTTATATTAATATCTATCTAAAAACATATTTCATGATAAAATTTATTTTTAATACGTTACCAAAAATTTACTGACAACGTTAGTATATGAATAATGAAAAAAGTCAAACGTGTCAATTGTTTTAGGACGGGGGAGTAAATTTTATTCATATATGACTAATATTTTTTAATTTTTATTTATTTGGATTGTTTTGATCTATGCACTAAATGATTTTGGATTGGACAACGTTTAGCATTCCATTATGGGGAAGTCCCTTTACTAGAATTCAAAATGTTTGTTGTTCGTGTAAAAAAAAAATAAAAAAAAATAAAAATAAATTAATGTCGTTGTAGTATAGAAAACTTTAAATTTTGACTAATAAATCCATAGATTTTGGTATAACTAGCTTGAGACCTAAGCAAGCAGAACCTTTTAATAGTGGATTTTTTGTTCATGTTATATTTTTTCATTGCTCATTTAAAATTTATTTGTTCATTGCACCATGTATGCGAGTGTATATAGAATTTTGATCTATGCTAATAAGTTGAAGGCAATATAATAGCATGTGTTACATTGGTCATCGAGTTTCATTCTCGTGAAAAATATGTTGCAATGGCTTTTTAATTTTCATAGTATTTTAATATTATGACCTAATTAATTAAGGAGATTTCAAGTACAGTTGGGTTGATGTCAATATAAAGGTCACATGCTACTTGTAGTACTATTATTATGCTATATAGAGAATACAAAAATAGTTGATCCTCACATGGTGGTCGGACTAAAAAAAATCACACTTCCATAAATTCTCTTGGATGTTAGTCGAATAGGGTTTAGAACAGCTCAATCACTAAAGTCATTTAATTTACGAGTACTAGTTTCAAATCTGTGGGATACACGGTTTTGTGTTATTGTTAGGTATATTGGTATATATACTACCTACATTTCACAATTATATATGTGCAGGAAAAGTTATGACACGAACTCCTACATAAAATTTGTATGCGAGTAAAATAAAGTGAGAAAAAAAAAATTTGTATGAGATGAGGAAATATATAGAGAGAAATGACAACTAGTTATTGTCATAATTTACATAATGTTGCTTGAGATGAGATGAGGAGAGATATAGAGAGATATCAACCATTTTTAATAAATATTGCACATAATATCAATAAAAAATTATTTAATTCACAAATTCGTAATGTGGTTGGCCACACCGTGTGGCAAGCCATTATAGGGGTTATTCTGTTAATACAATAAAGGTTACTTGGTCATTGTTAAAGAAGTTACTTCGTCAGTGTTATAGGGTTACTCGATCAGTGTTATAGAGGTTACTCGGTAATTATTACAAGGGTTACTTGGTAAATGTTATAGGGGTTACTTTGTTCTCTCATAACAGGTCATACAGTGTGTCCAGCCGCACACAAGACAGACTGAATTTAATATTCTCGTTCCATCTTATTGTCATAACTTACATGATTGTCCTTCTGCACTTGTTTGATAATCTTTTATCTTCACCATACATGACTTCTTATGTTCTCAATGTGTTTCCGTAATTATAACTAGTCTTATATGCACATGACTTCTTATTTTATAAGACCTTTTTTACTATAGTATTTTGATTTTTGCTAATTTTTTATATGGTTTATTTTGTTAATAATTTGCATGTTTTGATTGAATTTATTACAAAGTCAATAAATTAGAGTATAGTTCATTTTGAATTTGATTATTGAGAA